ATGTGCCCGCAACCAAGGTACATGCCCTTGACCGGAATCGAACCTGGGACCCTTCAGTCCGCAGGCCGAGGTTCTATCCACTGAGCCAAACCGGTCAGGGCTCTTTCTTTCTTTTTAAATATATTTTTATTGATTTTAGAGAGGAAGGGAGAGGGAGACAGGGATAGAAATATCAATGATGAGAGAGAATCATTGATCAGCTGCCTCCTGCACACCCTCCCTAATGGGGATTGAGCCTGCAACCCAGGCATGTGCCCTGACCAGGAATGGAACCGTGACCTCTTGGTTCATAGGTTGACACTCAACCACCGACCCAGGCTGCCCGGGCGTCTTCTCCCACCGTGTTTAAAAGAGAAGAGTGTGAGGGCCCCTCCTCGTTGCTCCTATAGCTCCCTATACACTGAGAAGGACCTGGACAGTGTACTGCAGTCATGGGCTGCAGCAGAAGCAACTGCAAGTGATGGTTCATCTTGGAGGGGATGGACAATGGCAGGGGTGCTGGACACGCAAGACAGATGCTACCCGGATTTTCTAAAATGAAGAAAGAGAAGATCCACAACATTACTGATAAAAATGATGGCAATGTCAAAATTCTGGAATTGATTTTTAAACAGAAGGCCTAAAAGCACTTATTTGAAAAGGCAGGAGTGTAGCCCGGCTGTTCAGTGGTTGAGTGTCAACAGGTAGGTCACCAGTTTGATTCCCGGCCAGGGCATATGCCTGGGTTGTGGGCTAGATCCACAGTGGGGGTGTGCAGGAGGCAGCTGATCGATGTTTCTCATTGATGTTTCTATCTCTTTATCCTTCTCCCTTTCTCTCTCTCTAAAAAAAAATAAATAAATATACATTTTAAAAAAAAGTTACTTACTTTCAAAAATCAAATAAAAAGCCGAAGTGTGTGTTCCTGGCTCAGTGGCTCAGTGGACAGAGCATCAGCCTGCAGACTGAAGGTACCCGGATTTAATTCCGGTCCAGAGCACGAACCTCGGTTGCAGGCTGATCTCTGGTGCCCTGAGGCTGCATGTGGGAGGCAACCAATCAACATATCTCTCACATGGATGTTTCTCTCCCCAACCCTTCTACTCTCTAAAAATCCATGGGAAAGTATCCTTGGGTGAGGATTAACAAAAATCTCTCTATATAAAAGCCTAATATGCAAAGTTCTACCTACCAGGAGTTCAATCACTCGCTATGACGTGCACTGACCACCAGGGGGCGGTGAAAAACGAAGGAAGGCCCCGGCTGGCAGCTGGCATCTGCTAAGGACCCTACCTGTGCACAAATTTCATGCACTGGGCCTCTAGAAATATATAAATAAAAATAAATAAAAAGCAGGAGTGTGTATTTTTTCTCTTTTTTTGCTTGAGAAAGAGCTCGCTTTATTGGGAATGGAGCTCTGTGCATCGGGCTCCTACACGTGGTGCTCAGGAAGGTACACAGGGCACAGAATGTGCTGCTAATGAAGAGCAACTGGAACAGGCTCCTCTGGGCAACTTCCCAGCACCTCCCTCCCCGGGGTCGGCACTCCTGACCATTTCCTTGAAGGCAACTGTGGTTCACTGGAGATAGAGCCCCTCAGGGGTGCCTTCTTGTTTTTTATACAGAACATAGCCTTCATTTGCTACTTTCATTCTAGGTTCCCTCAAGGCCCTCAGACCAGCTCCTGTGCAGATTGCCTTGATGTCGGCACCAGCGAGGTCACCCTTAGCCGTGACCAAGTCGTCCAGTGTCACGTCATCAGCCAGCGTCCTTCTGCTTGTGTGGACCTGGAAGATGAGCTTCTTGGTCTTTTCATCCGGCGGGGAACTCCATCTTCCTGTCAGTGCGGCCTGGTCTGATTAGTGCTGGATCCAGAGTTCCTGTTCGGTTTGTGGCCATGATGATTTTTACATCTCCCCTTGAATCAAATCCACCCAACTGGTTCAACAGCTCCAACATTGGTCACTGAATTTCTCTCTCACCTCCGGAGTTTGAGTCATACCTTTTTGTCCCAACGGCATCAATTTCATCAATAAACACAATGGATGGTGCATTTCTTCAGCAACTCGAAACAATTCCCGAACGAGTTTGGGGCCCATCACCTAGGCACTTCTGAATGAGTTCAGAGGCAACTGCTCTCAAGAAAGTGGCTGAGGTCTGGTTTGCTATTGCTTTAGCCCAGTGGTTCTCAACCTTCTGGCCCTTTAAATACAGTTCCTCATGTTGTGACCCAACCATAAAATTATTTTCGTTGCTACTTCGTAACTGTAATGTTGCTACTGTTATGAATCGTCATGTAAATATCTGATATGCAGGATGGTCTTAGGCGACCCCTGTGAAAGGGTCGTTCGACCACCAAAGGGGTCGCGACCCACAGGTTGAGAACAGCTGCTTTAGCCAATAAGGTTTTACCTGTGCTAGGTGGACCATAGGGAATGATGCCCTTAGGGGGCTTTATACCCCCCATCCCTTCATAATATTCAGGAAGCTCCACAGATTCCTTAATTTCCTGGATTTAGTTGTCCAACCACGCCCCACCACCCTGTGTGCGCGCACCTCCGCACCTGAGTATTTTCCACACTGCGCCTCCTCTGAGCCTCGGTGTGCTGTTATTTTTCCTTCTAGTTGAAGAGTCTCTCCTCAGCCAGCCTTCCTGTGGTTCTGGGTGATGTCCATTCCGTCTTTTAGTTGTATTTTTGAAGTGGTTGTTTGCGGCAGCAGTCTCCGGTGTTTACCTATGCCGCCATCTTCATCGAAGATCTCTTCTAAGGTCCCCAACGACATTGGGGTCCCCCTCAGATCATCCACCTTTGATCTTTCCTCCTCTTGCTTTTCCTCTAAATGGCTTCATTTGTTCCTGATTTCTAATGAATTCTTCCTCCATGAGAAGATAGTCTTTAATTCTCTCTAATTTCAATCATTTTAGCCGGCACTGCGTGTGAGGTGTGACCAGTGGCAGTTTGCTGGCAGCATCTGGTCCCTTTGTTTTCTTGTTCTTTTTCCCATGCTGGTTGGTACGAGGGGTTCGTATTTCTTTTTCTTGTCCTTGTCATCCTTCTTGCCACCTCCAAGACCATGACCACTACTCTGACTTTGACCCATCTTGCAAGGAGTATTTTCTTAGAGTAAAATCATATCACATTCACTACTAAAACCTATTTTCCTTTTAAAAAAAAAAACACGCATTTTATCTGGAAATGATTATGGATTCACAGGAAGTTACCCCAAATCCCCAGTTAGGTTGCGTATGGGAGGCAACCAAAATTGATGTTTTTCTCTCACATCAATGCTTCTCTCTCTCTTTTCCCCTCCCTCTCTAAAATCAATAAAAACACATTTTAAAAAATAAAATAAATAAATAGTGTGGGGGAATCAGCCTCCCTCCAGTATAGAGGACTTGACTCCTCCCATGTCCATTTCCGGAGGTGATTTCCCTTCCCAGCTGCCCCAGAGAAGGGAGCCAGGTCTTTAAAGGAGCTGCTTTGCATACACTGGGCGTCCGAGACAAGGCTAAACAGAACGAGGAATCTGTTCCAGTTCTAGGGGAATAGCTGGCTATGCTGACCTTCCAGGAAATAGGTCACGTGTCATGTCCTCTGCGCTCCCCGTGGAGTCCACCTCGGTGTCTGAGGCAGCCCTCCTGCAAGGCCACCTTCATCGCTGTCCTCTCAGTGCGGCTCAGGTGTTTCCCGTAAACCTTTTGGTCCTCCTTACCCAGTTCCAGGTGACAAGATTCCCAAGTCACTGTTCTCTACAGACACCTGGGCCAGGTGAGCCTGCGGTGACGAGGCTCTGACACCCAGCGGTGAGGACCCAGGTGGGCAGCCCCCCTCCCCTTAAGGAGCTTGACCTGTCTGCCGGGCTGTGGGCCCCAGATCCTTTACACCAGTGGGAGGAGGGCCAGCGGGGTCCACTGTCAGCGGTCCAGGGGTTTATATGTGAGGCAGCCATTAACACAATCAGAAGAGAAGAGACACCCACATCACCTTTCCTCTGACTCTGACGCTCCCAACCTTGTGCAGGTAGGGAAGGGCCCCAGAGCTCAGCGCCACCACCCCCCAGGCCCACTCCTCCAACACAGCACCATCCAGGCCCCGCCCCAAGGAGGCACGCCGAGACACTGACCTTGAGGCCGCGCTGGAAGGTGGAGATGGACAGCAGGGCCAGGTCTTGCTGCTCCTCGGCGTAGCGCACCAGGTACACGTAGACCAGCTTCTTCACCTGGGGAGAGCGGGTTTCCAGCAGGGACCGGCACCCCCGCCCCGTGGATGTCCTCACCCCAGCCGGCTGCGGTCCTCGGGGACAGATCCCTCCAGTGGGGAAGAGCATCCTGGTGTGCCCACCTGCCTTCTCTCTGACCCACATCTAGTTCAGGGGCATGTGGACAGTGTCTCTTCCTGGACAAGGCACATTTCTGGGCAGGGCAGGCCCCCGGGGGCTGGAGGGCCCCCTTCCTCACCCCTGACCAGCAGGAGACCCCTCGCTGGGGAGTGCTCACCTCTATGTTCTTACAGGCCACATTCTTCACCACAGCGGGAAACAGGTCTGAGGCATTCTTTCCCCGGGCGATCATCTGGGTGGTGAGGTCAAGGTCAGGAGGAGGAGGAGGAGGAGGGGAAGGAGAAGGACGAGAAGGAGGAGGAGGAGAAGGGAGGGGGTCAGCATTTAATAGGGGGTGGTCCACAGGGGGACATGCTCTTTGACCCCAGGCCCCTTCCCCAAAGAATGCCCCCTTCTCCCCTTTCCCCGCCACCCTTACCGCCACAATCCTCTTCATGGCCTCCAGCTTGAGGGAATCCTTGTTGCTGTCCAGCATCTCCTTCAGGTCATCGTGCCTGGTGGGAGGCACAGGGGGTCAGCTGAGGCACAGGGTGGCGGTGGGGCTATCAATTCCGAGGATCCAGGCGGAAAGAAGGAATGTGGGCGGGGCTGGCCCGGGCAGGACCCCATCAGAGGGGAAGGGAAAAACATGTGGGTCAGACAGTGATATGGGTTGAACTGTGTCCCCCTCAAAAAAGAGATGTTGAGCCCTAGCCGGTTTGGCTCAGTGGATAGAGTGTCAACCTGCGGACCAAAGGGTCCCGGGTTCGATTCTGTCAGGGGCATGTACCTCAGTTGCAGGCTCCTCCCTGGCCCAGGCCCTGGTTGGGCTCATCCAGGAGGCAACAAATCAATGTGTTTCTCTCACATGGATATTTCTCTCTGTCTTTCCCTCTCTCTTCCATTCTCCCTAAAAATCAATGGAAAAATATCCTCGAGAGAGGATTAACAACAACAACAACAAAAATAGACATGTTGAAGTCCTAATTCCTGGGCCCCAGAAGGTGACTTTATTTGCCATTTTAAGTAGTAGTTAGGATGAGGTCATACTGGAGTAGGGTGGGACCAGTGTTCTTATAATAAGATGGCCCTGGTCAGGGAGGAGACTGCAACCAAGGTACATGCCCTTGACCAGAATCGAACTTGGGACCCTTCAGTCAGCAGGCTGATGCTCTATCCACTGAGCCAAACCCTCTAGGGCAGTGGTTCTCAACCTGTGGGTCGCGACCCCTTTGGGGGTCGAATCAGCGGTTCTCAACCTGTGGGTCGTGACCCCTTTGGGGGTCGAACGACCCTTTCACAGGGGTCGCCTAAGACCATCGGAAAACACATATATAATTACATATTGTTTTTGTGATTAATCACTATGCTTTAATTATGTTCAATTTGTAACAATGAAAATACATCCTGCATATCAGATATTTACATTATGATTCATAACAGTAGCAAAATTACAGTTATGAAGTAGCAACGAAAATAATTTTATGGTTGGGGGTCACTACAACATGAGGAACTGTATTAAAGGGTCGCGGCATTAGGAAGGTTGAGAACCACTGCTCTAGGGCTTTATTAACATTCTTAACTTCAAAAAGAAACAACAAGAACTTATTCATTCAATTCATTCACTCATTCATTCATTCATTCACCACTCAACAAATACTTTGTTGCTAGGCTGCCCTGTGAGTCTAGAGCAGCCGTGGGCAAACTACGGCCCGAGAGCCGGATCCGGCCCGTTTGAAATGAATAAAACTAAAAAAAAAAAAAAAGACCGTACCCTTTTATGTAATGATGTTTACTTTGAATTTATATTAGTTCACACAAACACTCCATCCATGCTTTTGTTCCAGCCCTCCGGTCCAGTTTAAGAACCCATTGTGGCCCTCGAGTCAAAAAGTTTGCCCACCCCTGGTCTAGAGACTGAAACCTGGGACTCTGGTCCATAGGCCGACGCTCTATCCACTGAGCCAAACCGGCTAGGGCCTATTTGAGATTCTTGATGATACATTTAGGCTTCTAAGTTCAGCTACATCAGCCTCAGGGATCCTGGGCCCTCCCGAGGAGTCAGGCGGGTGTCCTCGCCTGTCACCCTGAGGCAGGGGCCTTCCCTGGGAGCAGGGAGGCTGGAGGTCTCTTTAAACTCTGGGTGTTCTCTGGAGCAGAGCTCCTCACACCCAGGTGTCCTCGCCGCACCCACAGATGCCACAGGCACTTGTCAGAGGCACACCCCCCAGGCCTGTGCTGGGGCACCCCCACCGCTCCCCCCCACCCAGCTTGCTGCACACACTCCAGGCCCCTGAAGGTCCCAGGCCCTGGGCCACGGAGAACTGAAGGGGGAGAAAGGAACCACTGGGTGTAGGCAGGAGAGCAGGCAGGGCTGTCAGATGCCACTAACACAGACAGACCGCCCGGGGCCCCTTGCCCTCGCTCTCACCAGGGAACGTTCCCCAGAGGGCGGTGACCGGAGAAGCACAGCAGCACCGAGGCCCTGAAACCTTACTCTCTGAGGTCAGATCCCCTTACGCCACTCACTGACCTGACCCCTTGTCTGGCCTGAGGGACTCTCTGGGGTGAAACAAGCATCTGAGGCCAGTCCCGCTCCCCCCTCACCCCCACGTTCCAATTCACAAGCTGGGAAAGGCTGGCCACACTCTATCCGAGCGTGATCCCGTCCCTAAACCCCAACTTCAGCCCATTCCAACCAGGGCCTGGGGGAGGGAAAAGGTCAGTGTGGGACCTCAACCTCCATCATTTTACTCTCCTCCTCCCCTCAGAGTTCTGGGGAGTTACGCTCCTCGTCACCTCCTCATACTCAGTCCCCACGCTGGGCCCCACCTGGACCCTAAATGCCAGCCCAGTCCTCCTCCCCCGAGCAGGTGGGACTAGCGGAGTCTGGCCTGAGTGGCAGCGGCCCATCCCTCGCCTTCCCGGGCTCCTAGGTGTGGCCCCTGGGGTTCCTCTGTACCGGAGTGGCTGGCTCTGACTCTGGCTTTGGCCGGGCTCTGGGCACGGTCCTTCCAGGGGCGCTTCTGGGGCTGTGTCTTCCTCGGGGGCCTGTAGCCACCGAAGCTCCTCGGGCTGCAGGGCCTGGTACCAGGCTGGGGGCCCGCCCTCGGGGGTCAGCACGGGGCTGG